CTAGGAGCCAGAGGACACGGGCAATGGCCAGCAAAACACTGGAAGCTGGGAAGGGGCCGAGTGGATTCCCCCACAGCCCTTGGTCTTGAACCTCTGGCCCCCAGAACTGTGAGAGACATTTCAGTTACCTTGGCCACTCACTGTATGGCTCTTTGTCACCGAGCCCTAGGAAATAATGTAAAGCTTGGCCCTGCCGGTGTTGGGGAGACTGAGTGTGGGGGATGGCCCAGCTTGGCTCAGGACCCCAGGCTCAGTGGCCCCTAGGTCCCAGCAGTGACATCCTTGGCTGTTCGAGCATTAGATGAGGGAAGCCACCCTTCCGGACTGATTTATAGGACCAAATCCTGGCCTGGATCTTCTCAGTCTGGTTCTCTTCGACACAGGCAGCCCCCGGGGAGGGCTTAGCTCAGCCCCCGCTCTGGAGTCCCTGGTGAGCACACTTCCGGTGCTTTGGGGACAGGGGCACCTCCTCTGTCACTGTGAGTCACCTGGGGTCGACCTGGGACACAGCAGAGAACGCTGCGTCTGTCTGAGCTGTTTGTCACAGTGGGCTTTGGAGTCAAACACACTCAGAGCAACCGTACCCCAGGGAAGTTGCCCCCGCAATCTGCATGTTGCCTCATGAGGAGCAAGTGAAATCATGTGGTGTTTTGGGCCCTTTCCATGCATGGCATATTCGAGATGTGTTTACACTGGCAAGGCTGGGTACCAGGGGTTATGCAACAGTGCCCCCAGCCCCTGGCAGGCCCTGCTTGGTGGCCCAAGGACTGCACTCCTGCAACCTCATAGGGCACAGCATGGCAAGGTGGTACTCAGATCAAGAAACTATGGAGTCACATGGATGCCTTGATTGGCACCAGGCATGGCACGTGCAGAGGATACACTGCTGGTTGGCAGCTTCCTGTGACTAGGGCAATTTGAGGAGACTGGAGATGGCCTGTCCCTCAGTCCTCGCCAGACTTTATGGTCCCCCTTTCCCCCGAGATCCCAGGGCCAAGTCCTGTGTGAACAGGAGCCGGAGCAGCTGCATCTCAGAAGCCAGAGTTGCAGGGCTTCTTGGCTGCCCCACGAGGCCTTGTGGCCACACTAGATCATGGCCGGCGTCCTGGGGGTACCGCCGAGGGCAGATCTTGAGCACCTCATAGCCAGGCAGCGTGCCAGGCAGGAAGTGGCATGGGGCGCCAGCCCCGCCCTCAGCCTTCCCCTGGCCCTTGCGTCGAATTCATCTGCCCCCAGCCTCAAGTCTGGCCCTGCTCTGGACTCCCCATCACCCCCAGACTGGGGTCTCACTTGTCTTCTGCTGAGGCCCTCTCCTGGGTCCCAGCTGCTCTTAGCAAACCCCTGATCCTGGGCCTTCACCCTGGTGCTGGCAGACTGGCTTCCCTGCCCCGCTCCCTCAGTTCTGCCGCCCTCGCCCACAGAGGCAAGAGCTAATCAGGCTGATTATCCCTCAAGTTCACTTCCACTCTCCTTGCCTCTGACACGCAGTAAATTTCCTCTACTGCCTGGCTCCCCTGTGAGCCGCGCCTGCCGTCAGCCAGCTCGGCTTTGGACACCACTAGCCCTGCCCCCGACACACTTGCTGTATCATCGCAGATAAATCGGGCCAGGTCAAGGTGGGAACGTCATTAAGCCCAATCCAGAGTCATCTTTGGAGCCATCAGCTGCAAAACCCTGTGGTCAGGCCCAGTGCAGCCCCCAGGGTTCTAAGTACAGAGCGACTCTCTGTCATCTAAAAGACCAGGTTGTCACCTGACAGAAGAGATCTGAGGTTTGCAAGATGCTTTGGGAAATGACCCCTCCTCTCTGCACACCGAGTGTAGGCAGGGACCTGAGTTGCAGCTTATGTGGCAGGAAGTGGTCCTTGACCCTCCAGCTCTATTTCCTACTCACCCCACCCTCAGGGTCTCCAGTGACTGCAGGTGACCTGAAGAGAAGGAACAGGGGGAGGAGAAGAAGCAGGAGGCTGTGTTTATTCTTTAAGCCAAGGTCCTGTGGGAGGGAGAAGTAAGCCCTGCTGACTGCTCCTTTTGCCTCGATCTCTTCCAGAGAGGGAGGCTCCACCGTGAGAGGAAAAACAGAAAACTTTGCCGTGATGAGTCTGGATTCAATTAAGTTTAAGGGGCCTTCATGGCATCTGTGTTGTGAGGGATGGCTGGGTGGAGCCAGGTCCTCATCCTCAGGCTGACTGAGAAGGGGCCTGTCCCAGAGGGCCCTGGAGGAGGTGGGGATGGAGCTGAAGGATGGTCAGGTTCTAGGGGGAAGGATGTGCGGAAGTGAGGGTGAAGGAGCTGTGGGGGGGCAGTCAGTCCATTTAAAGGGGGCGTGGGATGGAGAGAAAGACGGCGTCCCAATGCAGGACTTTGAAAATCACGCCGAGGAGAGTGGAGTTGGCTTTAACAGATGGGTAGGGGCATTAGTGCTCTGATCCCGGAGAAGGAGGACCCTGCAGGAGGGAGGGTACAGGGAGAGCATCAGGGAGGTGGGGGGCAGGTGGACACAACAGGCTGGGCCCAAGATGGTGCCCATGCAGAGATCGGCAGGCCTGGCAGCAGTGGCACCAAAGGGCACCAGGGGCCCTTGAGGGGAGAACCGCTGCATTGGTCAGAGGTGGCTGGAGGGCGGCACCCATCTTCCACTCTGCTCCGCCCCCCAGACAGAGCCTCCTCTCTGCCCAGTAGCCTCTGCATCTCTGTGTGTTTGTGTCCCTGTTTTTGCAGAGGGGCAGGGTCTTCCTCTGCCCTGGCCCAGCCCATGGCTCTGCTGTGCTTCCAGCGGAAGGGGAAGAAGAGATTCAGAGAGCACAGGCTGGGGAGAGACTTGTGAAGAAGGAGCTCAAGGCAACACAAACAGTGTGAGTAAATCCTATGGTGAATGTTTAAATTTAAAAATGTATCAGTGCCACAAATCCCCCTCAAAATATTCACCCCCAATCCCACTTCAAACGCACCAGTCCCATCATCCTTGCCACTTTCTGAGGCGGTTCTAGAAGTCCTCTTTCTTGGGTGTCTTTATGAGTTGTGATAAAAAAATCCAGTTAACGCTGCTGCTCATTGGCACTCAACTGGAAAAGCAACTCAGAAGTTATGATGCTGTGTCCTCCTCCACCTTCTTTACCAAATCGGGCACCTTGTGACTTCTGGCTCTTCCACAAGTCAAAATTATCAGAAGAGGAAAGGTTTTGAAAAGATTCAGGTCATCAAGGCAGCCAGGACAGCACAAGTCAAGACCCTCACAAAAGAGGGCTTGCAGAGCTGCTTCAAAACGTGGGAAGAGGGCAGGGGATTTAGCTCAGCGGTTCTGCTGCCTGCCTGGCAGCGCAAGGACCTGAGTTCGATCCCCAGTACCCCCCCCAAAAAAAGCGGGAAGAACAACGGGGTGAGTGCACTGGGGTGACGGTGGGGATTCTGAAGGTGATTCGTGACGTGTCTTTTATAACACATTTTAAAGATTTAAATATTTGCTATAGTTTTTTATCACGCTTTTTAGATGTTTCCTTTTTTCACCCTCCATTCTTCTTCTCTGCTTCCCTCCCTTCCTCTTTCTTTTCAGAACCTTTTACACCCCTGGCCGTGTCACAGGCCTGCTGAATACACACTCATCCAGTTAGTCCCAAGAGGGGCCAGCAGGGAGACACACAACTCATGGCCTAGAACTCGGGCTGGACTCCCGGACTTCCTGCTTTGCAGTCTCAGCTCCACACCCCCTAGCTGCATGACGCCGGGCGAGCTACTGGATGGCTCTTTGCCTCACGTGCTCTCATTTGTACTCTGTGAACGACGAACAGGGCTCGAACTTGGCCATGCTCCCTCGGTTTTTGCAGCGGAGACAAACAGAACTCCAGAAGGAAGTTGCTTCCCCACACTCAGCCGGACTGTAAGGGGCTTACAAGAGTTGGACCTGAGCAGCCCCTGCATCCTGCATCTCCAGCCAGCAGATGGCAGGAGAGAGCCGGAAGCGGTTAGGGGTTTCCAGATGGGCAGCTGCAGACTGGTCTGCAGACGCTCTGTAGAATCTCCCCTCCCATGACCACGGGTGCCCCAAGCCCGGAGCAGACTTGAAGTCTCGAAGTGAAAGCATCCGAATTCAGCCCAATTTTAGGAACTGAAGATGTTGAGGATAAACGTAGGGATGAACTAAGTGTTGGTGAAACATTTCTCCTGGGAGGCCGGGAGGGAATGGCCGGAAAGCTGCCGGTGCCTGCAGTTGCGCATTATGACCACGAGAGGGAAGCAAAGCCCGGGCTCTGTCTTAGAGCTTCTGGAAGGCAGGGGGTCCACGCAGTAGGAAACGCCTCTTGAGCGGCCTGGCCCAGATCCTAAGAAGCCATCTCCAAAATATTGGTAAGAGCGATGTGCTTGCTTCAGCAGCACATATACTAAAAAAGAACAGCGATGAAGGGGACTTTAGAACGGATCTAGTCCTTATCTGGCAGAAGGCCTGGCAGTATCCAAAGGGTCACATGATTTCACCCCAATTGAAGCTGGGGAACTGAGAAAGTCAGAATTAAAACCCAAGACTCTGTCTCTTTTGTGCTGTGGAAAGAAACATGAATCCAGTTCTAGGGGAATTTGGAGAGCGCGGTGCTTCGTGGGGCAGTGCGTCCTGCCTGGTGTGAGCGAGCAGGGCGAAGTCCTGCCTCACGACCCTGGGAGTGGGGTGCGCATCAGGAGCCACTGAGAGGGCAGGGATGGAGCCGCTCTGCAGACAGACTCCCCACAGCGTCTCCAGGCACAAGCGCTGCAGGGCCCACGGCTCGAGGGAGGAGGTGACAGCACCGCGGTGAGACACCCAACCGGTCCTGGACAGCGTGGCGACTGGAGAAAGGTCCGAGAGCAGTGCATAGTATAACAAAGCTGCTTTTGTTTTTAATTATTATAAATATATATTACTGTATTTATTAATGACAAACAAGAACCTATAAATATAAGAAGTTTAACATACTCATAATCTTGGAAATTCAAAGAGAAATGAAGTATGTTTTTAAATAGATGGTATTTATGAGTACAGCAAGCACAGTCCTGAGAAAAGCATTTCGCGGAACACAGTGTATTCCCTTCCCCGGGTTAAACTTTCCCGCGGCTCCGGGCGTCGGACGCTGTCCTTGGTGCTGAACGAGGTCGTGGGAGGGCTAGGCCTGACATCATAGCAACCCCACTAGAGCCTCCGGCGGCTTCTTCCTTGGTCAGTACAGAGCTGTTTCTCAAGAAATTCCTGCGGAATGCTCGCAATGGGGAACGCTCCACCAAGCGCGGTCAGATTGAGGTTTTTCTCACTCTCCACCTCCCTGTAAAAGCACCTTTGCCTCACATTGATGTCATTATCACCTGGGGCTTCTGGATTTTGATCTGGAAAGAGAAACAGGACCGATTGAGGGCTGGGCCCATGAGGAATCTGGGCTTTCGAGGTTAAGAAGCTTGGGCCTCGAGAAGTGCCCTGCTCAGAACTTGCTCTAGAACCTGGAGTGGCTTTGGCATCCTGGCCCAATGTCTCACATTTTTTTTTTCTTTTCTGTACTGGGACCTTTTTTGTACTCAGGACCTTGCACTTGTGAGGCAGATGGCAGAACCACTGAGCTAAATCCCCAGGCCTGAGGTCGCACTTTCGTCCCGAGGCTCTGTCTAGAAAGTACAGTCTGGAGCCAAGAACACTTGGTAGTTCTTCTGTCCTCAAATTCCACCCAGTGGAAATATTAGTGTGGTCATCCAGGTTGGTCACCCTTTACCAGAGAGCAGTCTAGGCCTTAGTCATCACGTGATGTTATGTATCTCTTGAGGGGATGCAATAGCATTACCTACAGCATGGCAAAAATGTTTAAACTGAATCTGATCAAGCCTCTAGACCTGACCTCTGATTTGTGTGTATTATAGAGAACTAAGGACATGTTAAATGACTTCACAAAGAAATAATCAAACTGGGAGTACTGGACACTCCTCGGTTCCATTTTAGACTTTTATTTTGTTTTGTCTTGTGTTTTGAGAGAGGGTCTCACTATGTGGTTCAGACTGACCTGGAACTCACTACGTAGCCCAGGCTGGTCTCAAACTCACAGCAACCCTCCTGCCTCAGCCTCCCGATTGTGGGGATTACAGGCATGCACTACCATGTCCAGCCATTCTAGACTCTTTTAAATATGCCATATATTTTTATTTGTTTTGTTTTTGGAGACAGGGTCTCGCTCTGCAGTTGAGGCTGGCCTTGAACTTGTGGTGACACTGCCTCAGTCTCCCCAGTGCTGAGATCACAGTCGTGGAGCAGCACGCCCAGCCAAAAATATGGTATGTTTTTAAAAGCCAGAGTTGGTTCCATATAGAAAAACCAAAAAAGACGTGAAGAGTCAGTGAATGAAATTTGTTGTCTCCACATATGAACAAAAGTTACAAAAGTTTCTTTGGGCCGGGTGTGTTGTGCACACCTGTGACCTCAGCACTCTGAGGCTGAGGCAGGAGAATCACTGGGGTCCAGCCCGGGCAACTCAGTGAATTAGTGAGACCCTGTCTCAAAATAATAAAGGGCTGGGGCTGTAGCTCAAGGTGAAGGGCCTGGACTCCAGCCACACGGCTGGGGCATTTCTTAGGTCCGTTCTAAAAACTGGATATTGATGATGTTGTGGAATTATTTCACTGTATGCAGTGGTGGCACTTGGGAACATATGCAGAGGGTCAGGGAGTGACGGTCACAATATTCACAGATGTGAACAGACAGGTGTGAAAAGAAAATATGTGTTGTAAACACCACTATCTGGACAGGGTGCATAAATATTTGCTGTACTATTATTTTTACTTAGATGTGTAATTAAAAATTAAAATAAATCCATCAGTTGACCATCAAGGATGTATTTAAGGTGCAGAAAGAGACTACAGGGCCTGGACCCCTAGGAGTCTACAGACCAGATTCCACCTTGCTCAGCCTCCCTCCGAGTGATGCTAATTTCCTGGCAGGGGATCCAGGGACCAAAGGATCATCATCATCATGGTTTTGCTTTCCTGAAGGTCCTTCAGGGTAGGAAGGGAGATGCAAGCCGAGGGAAAGGGAAGCCATTCTTCTGACCTTGGTTTTGGAGTCCACGTTGTTCAGGGAAGGCTGGAAGTTATGGTAGATGGAGTCCAGCTGCACATAATGCTCTTGTTCTAGAGGAGGAAGAAGCCCGGCTGAGACAGATGGTTGGGAAGACGAGCATCAGCTCTCCCTCAAGGTCCACTCAGTGAAACTGAAAATATGGCAGACTACCTAAACCAGGGGCCCCCAGCCCTGTGCCACAGACCACGATGGGTCTGTTAAGAAGCAAGGTGCATGGCAGGAGGTGAGCTACATCCACTGCCTGGTTTTATTTATTTATTTATTTATTTATTTATTTATTTATTTATTGTTGAGACAGAGTGTCGCTGAGTCTCTAAGTTACCCAGGTGGGGCTCATGCTTGTGACCTTCCTGCTTCAGCCTCCCAGAGCGCTGGGATTACAGGCACGCACTATCATGCCTAGCTGGTAGTGTTTTAAAGACAGGGACAGCACTTCTCTTCCCACCATTAAGCCCTGCCATCCCCCACATGCCTCTTCTGTGACTTCCCATACTTGGAGCCACTCTCAGTGCAGGGTGGGCTGCCCGTACCGTCACAGATGGCAAAGCCAGTGTTCTCGAAGGTCCCAGGGGCAGGTGCGCCGCCCTCTTCGTACCACTTGTACAACTGAGACACTCTGTACTTTTCTCTATTTACAGAAAAACAAGAGACCCCTGTTATGACCAGGGAGCAGGGACAAGGAGGGTGGGACAAGCGATGTCCCTGCTGTCAGCTTCCCACCACCCAGCCCAGGATGGAGAGACTGAAGACACAGAGCGGGAGGAGGAGGAGGACCTGGCGGGGAGAGGGAGGAGCGCATGGTTCACCTTGCTGCCACTCTCTTGGCGTGCAGAGCAAAGACCAGGAGGACGACCAGAACCACTAGCACCACTGCGGCCCCTGCACCCGAGAGCCCATACACCAGGCTCTTCTGGATGCCTCGCTCGCAGGTCTCCCCCTGGTACCAGTGAGTGTCTGTGATCAGGCAGCTGAGAAGGGCGAGGAGGAAGCAGGGAGAGTATGGTCAGTACCTGCCTTGGACCCCGGTCCCGGCCCCACAGATGCCTAAGCCCCGCTCCTTTCTTCCCTGGACCAGGATGGGAGCCCCTCCTGCAAGAAACGATCTCAGAACAGGCCGCTGCCTGTGTAACTCCTGCTTCCAGCCCTCGTGCTGGGCGGCTGGCCACAGCGTCTAATTTACTTTCAGCAGACAAAGCCTTTCTTGTCTCCCCTCTGAGGCCAGACCTGGCAAGTTCCCCGCTGCAAATGCAGTCCTGTGGCCGCCTCTGCTGTGTTGCTTCGAGGAATGGGGTTCCCACCTGGGGATGAGGCCCTCCCTTCCCTGGAGCCTGGGAGCTCCCTGAAGCTGGAGTCTTCCTTCTGCTCCATCAGTGCCACTGCCCTTAGCCTCACGCGCACAGGAGGACACCAGTGTGTGCAGCTCTGGAGCCACCTGCGGCTGGGCGTGCAGGTCCCTGCAACCCCACTGTGATTCCCTTGTGGCTGGATACATTCAGGATTCTCAGGAGCCCGTGACCTTGGCCTGCAGGCAGCATCTGCCTGAGTCCGGGGTGGGGGCTGCGTGTGGGCCAGGCTGGGACACTCACTTGCACCGGGGGCCTCTGAGCTGCAGCTGGCACTTGCCATAGTGGCAGTCCAGGGAGGTGTTGAAGCCAGGCATGCAGGGCGTGATGCAGTATGGCTGCTGGTCCTTGTACTGCACCGTGAAGTGGGCAGCATAGGCACCAGCCATTTCCCGGCATTCCCCTGTGAGGGTGAGGAGGAGCAGCCTTGGTCAGGGGCTGGGAGCTCCACCGGGCTCTTCCAGGGCGTCCCCGCTCCCTAGCCCTTCCCGAACCTCGCCGTGTGCAGCACCTACTTTCAGGATCGTACTGGACAATGGAGACGTTCTGTATCACAGTGGCAGTTGAGTTGAAGCACAGTAAGTAGGCTGTGAAGGAGACAGGAAGCTCCTATGACAACAGGACAAACCTGGCGACTGCAGGGGCTAAGCTGTGTGGGCAGTGGGGCGAGGGTCTGGGGAGACAGGAAGCCGGCCTCCGTCCGGCTCTGCAGAACTGCCACCCTCCAGGTGTCCTGCAGCTCCCTGCACCTCCTGTCACGATCCCCATCCACCAAGTTTGTTTTTTGTTTGTTTGTTTGTTTGTTTGTTGGTACCAGGGACTGAACTCAGGTCCTTGTGCTTACAAGGCAGGTGGAAGAACCACTGAGCTAAATCCCCGGCCCCTCATCCACCAAGGTTAGAAGATTCACTGCGTCCTGAGTACCTTAGTCCTTTTCCAGCAGAGCCCGGGCCTGCACCCATTTCTCTTGCAGGTCCTGCCACCTGCCCTGACTTTCCATCCTCTGTGCCCCAGGGTGACCAAGATGAAACCGTCTCTGGCGCCCGCCCAGGGAGCATGGGTTTACCTGAGCAGGTACCATTACTGCTGCTTATTTGCTTTTTTGTCGCATTCAGGATTTTCTCCTTCACCTGCTGTGAGGCTTTCTCCAGCACCTGTTTGTACTCCAGAGAGTAATTGGCCTTCAGGATGACCTCGTGTTCCACCACCACACTGCCAGGCCTACGGGGAGCAACAGCATGGTTGGGATCATGGGAGGGCTCTATCTATCTATCTATCAATCGATCGATCGATCATCTATCTAAATGAAGCCACACTATGTTGCCCAAGCTGGCTTCAAACTCCTGGGCTCTCGGAATCCTCCTGCCTCAGCCCCTTAAGTCCCTGGCTTTCACTCACATACTATAAATCATCTCTGCATTCCTTGCAATACCAAATACAATGCAGTTGCTGTGTGAGTAGCTGTCATACCATATTGCAGGGACTAACAACAAGAGCAAGTCTGTATATGTTCAGCACAGACACACTTTTTCCCCAAAAACGTTTTCAGTCTGCACTTCATTGACACCACAGATGTGGACCCAGAGACACAGAGGCCTGAGTGGACATACAGTGGACATACAGCTGTCCTATCCAGAGAAGCAGTGGGCTGGCACCTGCGGATGATGTCCTGGCCCTGGCCCTGAAGAAAGTGTGAGCCTCATGGGCCTCAGCCTCATCTGTCAGATGAGAAGCTGGAGCCCAGGATTCCCGAGCTCTTCCCCAGGTTGTGTGGGTGGCTGATTCTCTCCTCTGTTCCCACTCCTAGACCCTCCTGGAGCCATCACTGGGCAAAAATCCACTTCCCTTTCCTTTTTTTTTTTTTCTTTTAAAGCAGTCCTGGGGATTGAACCCCGGGCCTTCACACTGAGCTACCTCCTTAGCTCCCTTTTATGTTTTATTTAGAAATAAGGTCTTGCTAAGTCGCTGAATTGTCCAGGCTCAAACTTGTGATCCTCCTGCCTCGGCCTCCCAGAGTGCTGGAATTACAGGTGTGCACCACCCTACACAGCCAAGGTGTGGAGCCTGAGGGTGTGGGGTAGACACCCATGCAGGCTACCCTGAGCCCCACAGCCAGGGGTTCATGTTGGGATCAGAGAGGAGCTGGTTCACAGGCTAGAGGGCACAGCAGGCAGGAACACCGCCTCGCAGCCTGTGAGACTGGGAACGTCAGTAAAGCCACCAGCTCTGTCCCCGGAGAGCCCATTCCTTGCCTTTCCTGAGACAGAAGGACAGACAGGGAAGGACCAGGACCAGCCCTTGAGCACCTCCCCCTCCTCCCAGGAAACAAAAGGGAGGCCTGTGGCGGGGGTGGGTCTGGGGAGGCCAGGCCTGGAGTGGAAGAGTCTGGGTCAGAAAGGAAGTGGCTGTTTTCAGACAGAGCTGCAAGCTGCCTGGCCTCCTGCAGGTGGAGAAGCCTGGGAGGGGCCGGAAGGGCCCCTCCTCCCTCAAAGGCCTAGTTTGTGGGGAGATAGTCAGGTTGGCTCACTGGTTTTTTGTGCCTTTTCTTCTGTTTTCTGTCAGCTATCAATTCCTTTCAAAAAAAAATTTTTTGTGTGTGGGTTTTTTTGGGCACCGGGGATCAAACCGGAACCACGGACCTCAATCCCCGGCCCCAAAAATTATTAATTGTGAGTCTGGAGAAGGGATCTTTTCCTCATTATCGAGGGGCAGAGGGGGGACCATGCCAGACTTGTTGGCCTGCACCACTCAAAGGATCTCATGAAGCCGGTTGGGGGGGGGGGGGAGAAGCCCAGGCAGCCGGTGGGAGTGAATGCAGGACAGGGATGGTGTGGAAGACTTCTTCCTGCCACACCATCTGCCTTGGCCTTTGGGGGCTGATGGGGTGTCCCTCTTCCATGCCGCAGCAGCCAGGTTTTCTAGATTGTCCTCTGTCCCCAGCAGAACAGGGTTCCTGCTTGAACCTTGGCTCTACCATTCCATAACTGAGCCCTCAGGCCAGGCCTTGCATTGCCCTGTGCCTCGATTTCTCCATCTGCACAACGGGAACAGTCCTGCCAGCCTCCCTCAATGGGCAATGTCTGGGGAGCCACAGCTGAGGCGTGTCAGTGGCCCAATGGTGTATCCCTGCTCTCAGTCCATATGCTGATGCCCAAACCTCATTATGTGAGTGTCCTGGGAAATGAGGCCTTTAAAGTGAGGCTGTCAGGTGGACACCAACCCTATCCAACTGGCATCCTTGTACAGAGAGGAAATCTGGAGGCAGCACACACCTGTGATCTCAGCGCTCTGGGAGGCTGAGCAGGTGGCATCGTTCTAATGGCCTCTACCGTTATGACTTTTGCTTGCACTCCAAACACCTCCTCCTGTCGGCCCCAGACACTCACCTCAGGCTCATGATGTTGACCCCTTCATACTCAGGGATTCCAGCGTATATCAGTTTCATCTGAAAGGCAAGGGGCCACCGTGTCATCCCGAAGATCCCGCCTTGGGGCCTGCTAGGCCTTTCTGGGGACAGAAAGCCACCTTTTCCTCCAGCAGCACCCAGTCCTCACCCTCAGCTTCCAGTGGCACAGTCCCTTCCCAGAGCACAGCCCCACCCTGGTGCCACCTCCACCAGGATCCCACTCGGCATCCCTGGTAAACCCCGAGGACATGGGGGAGGGGAGACATTCACACACATCTAACAAGAGAACAGCTCTCAGGTGCCTTGTGTGTGTGTCAGGATATGGTCCTGGGGACTGAACCCAGAGCCTTCTCACTGAGCCACATTCCCAGACACTGCCCCATTTTTCAATTCATATTTGAGACACAAATTTGGGACAAATTTGCCTCAAAGTCCAGGGTTTATAGGCATGCACCACCATGCCAGGCTTCTTTCTTGACACCTCCAGGCTCCTCCCTGGGGGGAACTCAGTGGCCTCGGGGACCTGCTCTTCCAGGTTTACCTGTTCTGTAAAAATGGTATTGAAATTCTTGAATTCTTCCGAAGACTGGTCCTCCAGCTTATCTCTGTACTGCTGGCTGGTCACTGTCACGGTCAGTTTCACAGAAGCAGAGGCCTTCTGTGGTAGATCTGAGGGACAGAGCATAGCAGCACTCACTGACCTAACAGCTCCTGAGCTCCCTACCAAGGAAATCTGCACCCCCAGCAGCCCCACCCTGCATGGAAGCAGAGACCTGGGCTTTCTGTCCTGTCCCGTGCAGGGGCTGGGGCTTCACTTACCCAGCTTAGTGCCATCGATCACTTCTTCACATTTTGGCCCAAAGAAGAAGGGGGAACATTGGCACTCGAGCCCATTCCAGGAGCCTCCGTTGCTGCAGACATTGCTCTCAAACTGGCACCGATCTCCCGTGAAGCCACTGGGGCAGACGCAGGCCTCGCCCGTCCACAGCCCTCCATTGAGGCAGCTCCCTGGAACACATGGATTGCACAGCGCGTCACAGCCTGAAATCTGCTCCCAAACACTCTCATCACACCCTGGGTGCCCAGGAAGGTGAGGGTCACCCCACTTCCCAGGCAGGACGATCGAGGCAGAGAGAGGCCTGGCCAGGTCCCGGGTCCAGGCAGACTTGACCCAGTCCTGGACTCTAGCACTTGATACACGCGATAGCCCAAGACTGTGAGTGAACAGGACTGTGGTGTTGTGTGAGGTAAACGCAGCAGGGCTGAGGGAGAGGAGACGAGAGCCAGAGGAAACGACCCGCTGAGACTGCACCCAGGCTGAGGGTGGACATGGGCACTGTCCCTCCACACCCCCTTCACAAGAGCCTTCCCTGGACCTTGTTGCTCTGAGGACTGGTTAGGCTTCCTGTTTTATCTCCCGGTGTGGGAGGTTTGGAGAGAGTTTCAACAGACAGCACACGGTTATGGAAGACTCAATTATCTATGCTGAATATCCATGCCAGGAAAACGCAAAGGTCTATTCTCTTTGGATTTTCTGTGCCCATGTAGACCAGAATCCAGATGTGTTTTGTCTGGGGAGGTACACAGGTAGGAGTACACTTTGTAAAGGCGTGCTACACCTCTGCCTTCTGGTCTTAGCAAGCAGGGGACACAGCTATGACAATCCTGTCATGAAGCCACTATTTAGAGGTCTTTGGTCCAAGACATTTAGGAAGCATGGAGGACGACATAAGCCAAGGGTCCTGGGCACATGGGAAACCCATAAATCCTAAATCAGCTCATGCCCTACCCCTTTCTCCCTGACTCTCTCCCTCTGGCATTACTGAGGATGTCGAGGCCCAATCTAAGTGCCCAAGCATAGCTAATGAGAAGCTACAAAAGCAGCTGCTGGGATGTGCTGCCCAACAGCCTAAAGGGAAGGACAACCTCTGGGGGACAGGTGACCACCTGCCTTCAGAGAGGTGACCAATGCCAACTGAGGGCCCAGCAGTGGCATGGCCATCTGGCATGTTTGTGAGAGACCTGCTACAGTTTGAATATGGTTTGTCCTCCAGAGGTTCATATTGGAAGGCTGGCCCCAGTGTGATGGTGTTGAGGTGGTAGAACCTTCAGGAAGTGGAGCCCCAAAAGGTCATTAGGTCATGGGAACTCCACTTTCATGAATGAGTAATGCTGGCTTCATAGAATGGGTAGGGCCTCTCAGGAGTGGACTCATTCCTTCTCGGGTCTTCTGATCCTATTCTTATGAAACAATGACCCCAGCCCCTCCACACCCTTTCCTTCCTAGCTGGCACACATGCCTCTTCCCTACTCTTCCTCCATGTTGTAATGCAGCCAAAGGGTCCTTGCCATATTCCAGCATTGTTGTGGTTTAAATCAACGTCCCCCCAAAGCCTCATGGATTCAGAGGTGGGGATTTGGGAAGGTGACTGGATCATGGGATGCTGTACGCATTCGTGGATTAATCATTCATGATTTCATTACTGAATATACTGGTAGGAGGCAGAGCCTCACTGGGATTGGTCACTGGGTCTTGACCTGGAAGACTGTATTTTTTGTTGTTGCTGTTGCTGTTTTTTTGAGACAGGGTCTCACTATGTAGTTGAGACTGACCTGGAACTCACTATGTAGCCCAGGCTGGTCTCGAACTCACAGCGATCCTCCTGACTCAGCCTCCCGAGTGCTGGGATTACAGGAGTGAGCCACCACGCCAAGCATGGAAGACTGTATTTTTGTCCCTGGTTCCTCCCTTCTCTCACTGCTTCCTGACGCCCCTGAAGTGAACAGATCTCCTCCACCAGGCTCTTCCACCATGTTGTTTCTGCCTTGGAGCCTGCTAACCATGGACTGAAACCATGGGAACCGTAAGCCAAATAAACTTCTCTTCCTTTAAATGGAAGGTATCTGGTATTTTCTGCCCCAAATAGTAAGGTAACTAATACGAGCACTATGGTATTTGGACCTTCTAAACACCAGAATCATGAGCCATGTAACCTCTTTTCTGCATCCATTAGCCTTAACCAGTCTATCATGGCAACACAAAACAGACTAAGACTAGGGATTCCCAGGAACACAAGGCCCAGACCTCCTGAAGATGCTCAGACCTCTTGTCCGATAACCACAGAGCTCCATAATGGGGAGAAATCAGAGAACATAAGTAAAACCAGCGTTCACTCTAACCAGAACACAATCAAGGAAAAGCTGTAGTAGTAGAGAAAATGCGGGAGAAGTGAGAACAGAGAAACCCTCAGAGGTAAGGAGTTGGGGTTCAGAACCGAGAGAAGAAAATGCTATTTGCTTTGATAGTGAGGACTCAAAGGATAAAATGAAAACAAACAAAAGTGAATGGTGATAGAGCACTTAAAAAACACTTGTAACCAGGGCCAGGGATTTAGCTCAATGGTTCTACCACCATGCAAGCACAAGGACCCAAATTAGATCCCTGGTACCAAACAAAAAAACAAAAAACATACTTGTAACTAATTTTCAAAAGCAGACTGGGCATGGTGGGGCACACCTGCAATCCTAGCACTGTGGGTGGCTGAGGCAGGATGACCACAAGGTTGTATGCAAGCTAAGTAACCAAGTGATTTAGTGAGATCCTGCATCAAATAAAAAGTAAAGAAGGACTTGAAGGTAACTCAGTGTGAAGGCCCTGACTTAAAAAAACAAAACAAAATTAAAAAACGGAAAAGCAACAGTAATCTCCTGTGCCTGAAAATAACCATACATATAAGCCTTCACACTTTAGTATGAAATAAAGGAATGGCAAAAACCACTAAAAATGTGAATATGCAAATAAAAAGTCAGGACTTTAAAAAGCTACAGTACCGAACTTGCAAATACAAAACGGGATGAATGGGACATGAGACAGATGATGGAGGATTAACTAAACCCAGGTAACAGAGGTAAGAAGCTTCATGAAAAATATTACAGTGAAAACAAAACAGAACGAAGAGACTAGAAATGTAACCAGTACAACAAAAGGACTACAGAGGTTTTAAGTAGTGAAAACTTAAAAAAGGAATCACATCCATAATCCAAGAATCCTGAGACAATCAAAAAGGAAAGGATAAGTTTAGGGCCACCCTGGGCATTTCGGGAAAAAAGTGAGAAGATCTTGTGTGAAATTTTAAACAACAAAAGGAAAAGAAATGTGACTTAGGAGAAAGGCACTGAGTTCAGTCCCACTTAAAGAAAAAAAAAAAGGAAAAAACATGGAGCATGGATTTAATGAGATATGAAAAAGAACAGAAGAGATAGGTTTGGATATTGAAAGCACAAACTTTTTTCAAAAAAGATTTATAATCTCTTACTTGCAGTAGTAGTAGAAGCCATAGCTGTGGGCGTTGAGGTGGTTGCCAGCATAACCGTGGTGAGGGGAGGAGAAGAAGACATGGGGCGCACAGTAGAAATGTGGGCAGAAAGGGTGGGATGAACAATGGTGCTTCTGCTCACAATAGGTGGAGTCACAGAGGAGGAGAGCAAAGGCATCGTGCTGGCAGGGAGAATGGCGGATGTAGGGCCTGGCTCACTGATTGTGGGCAGAGACACGAAGGAGCCTGGACTAGAGGTAGGCACTGGGCTGGTATGTGTGATAGGGGCCAAAAGACTGGTGCTGTCCACAGGCTGAGAGATGGTGGCCGAGCTGGCACCAGGAG